TTGGATGCGCTATCAATGGACGGAAGGGACGTCGTGGCGTTCAAGAGCATCATCGCCTTGATCGGCACTTGGCTGCACACGATGTGGAATGAGATTCAAATTCTACGTCGACTCGCACATGCAGAGCATCAAGAGTCACAACAAGTCCCGCCCAGCTCTCCAGCGACAAGACTTCGTCAATTGCGCGAGGCCAGGGACCTTCTTTCCGTGCAGCTTTCATTGAGGGAGTGGAACCTGCAGGCCCTGCTGCAATTGGCAACTTCGACTTTCAAGTTCTCATTCACCAAACTAGATTTAGATCACGTCGAAGATCTCTTCTTTGAGATTGCGCACCTCGTTCTCGGCCAGAATGTGCAAGCTGACCCTAGCGGAGTGCAGCAGTCCACAAGTGTCTCTGCAGCAACTGGAAGCAGCAGACGCAACAGATCCAAAGATGCTCGACCATTGACGGAAGGCTATGATTACTATGGGCTTGAGCAGCTGACCCCATCATCCGGCAGTCTCACGCCTGTTACTTCGTCAGCAACGCAAAATGCTTCCAGATCCCCACTTTTGACAGGCCTGATTTCTGCTTCCGCTAACATTGCGGGTCCTCCACCATCCACCGAAGCTTCGATCTCGCCGTCCTCGACACCCAAAGTTGCGCCGATAGCGCTAGCTACGATACCGCCGGCATCCCAGAGCAACGCGCCAGCATCAATCAGCTCGAACCCGAGCTCGGAGCTTCACGCCAGCGATGTTAGAGCCATAATTGCATTATTCGATGCAGCCCTCCGGTACGGGTCCGTACCTCCTGCCTGTGTTGAAGCTGTAGCCGACGTCCTCTGCTGCTTCCTAGGCCACCAGGCGGCCGAGCGAGTGAAGGATGGCAGGGAAGTCGAGGAGGAGCTCGATTGGCGGCCACAACTTCTACCGGTTATTACGAATCTGCTCCGCAGTCACGGTGCTAATGCCGCGCTTCGACATGTCCGAGGCATGTTGGCAACAACACCGTCCCAAGCAAATAGCCACGAGGCCTCTGGAGCATCCGCGCATCAGCATGCTCACACCGCGCTCGGTCTCTATCGCGAGCAGCTGAGCGTTCTACTTGGAGCCGTTAGCTTCTTACGCCACGCCTTGTTCGTCGTTGGCGAGTCTGTAGCTTCAAGCGCAGCGCATCGCGAGGCTACGTCAAACAGACAAAATGAGGACGCGCTTGCGCCATCCGTGTCCATAGCCCTCATCTTGCCGGCTCTCCGCGGCGCACTCGCGCGTCAAATTGATGCGCTCGACGTGGCCGTA